CTTAAGTGTCTTGATGTAAGTTTTGTCCTTTTTTCTTGAGTAGACAATAAATGATTTCTGTCGAACCGGACGGTTGGTTCTTTATTCAAAAACTAGCTTTTATAGTATAGTACGAGAATTGCCGGTAAAAAAAAGTTAGTACGCGGAATAATAAAATAAAATAAATAAATACTCCTCCGATCCTTAATATAAGACCCATTTAACTAATTTGATTAGATTAAGGAAGTTAGATAAATTAGTTAATTATAAGAAAAGTGACATATTTTTCCTAAAATACCATAATCATATTTCTTAATATCTCATCTCCCTCTTCTACTTGATTATGGTTGAGGGAGTATTTATAGGGGTAATTTAGAGCAAATTGATAAATATGAGAAATGGGTCTTATATTTAGGACTAAAACTGACTCAAGAATTGGGTCTTATATTAAGGACCGGAGGAGTATTTTATAATATAAATATTTCTTACACTCTTAAAAAGGTTAATGTTGAATTATAATAGAAGTATAGTAAATTGAAAATTTTCAATACAATCATTATGTAATACTACCTCCCGTCCTAATAATAAAACTTCGTTAACGCGGTCATATAGTTAGTGCGAAAGACAATAATTTCAATCTAAAAGCAGAATAGATATGACATGGAGATCCAAAGTCATGCTTGTATGCTTTCATATTATGAACTATAATAACACTTAAACGGTACAAATTATTAGGGTCATCAACTTTATTATTAAACACTAATCATTACTTAGTGCAAAAATATAACCAATATGTCAAATCACACTACTTATAAATCGTGTTTTCTGTTTTTCGAAAAAAAAAAAAGTAATGCGAAGGGTTACGTTTTTTTTTTTTTTTTTATGTGGACCTACCCTTAAAAAGCCAAGACGGGTTTAAGTGAGAAAAATATATAGCTGAAAAAATCACATGATTAGGACCCTGTATTTCCTTCTCTCATTTCATCGCTGAGAATAGCAAAGTGGCATTAGCTTTAATGGCGCCAGCAACATTCTTAGCTTCTCTCCTCAATATAGGAAAAAGTGGAGAAACAAGAAGGAAAATTATATATATATAGATATGTAGATTGATACTGATATATATATATATGAGATCGTAATTCACTGAATCTCTTTTTATCTCTTAGAATGGAGGAAGAATCAAACCAAGAACAAACCAGAACTGATGATGAGAATAAGAGATCATTATTAATGGAGCTCATACCCAGGGAAATTATGGAGCTCATGATCGATGGCTTTTCCATTACAGACCAATTTCAATTCTCAAGAGTCTGCAAATCATGTCATTCTTTGGCCCTCAAGAGACCCATCCCACGAGCTCGTGAAAATCCATGGCTTCTTGCTCTCACTCATGAATTCTCCTCCTGCCGTAGAAATATATGCAGCAGCAACAACAAGAACAAGAAGCTAACATGTTATAAGATCCAAGCAACAACATCGTTCAAACATTCTAATCCATACATTATTGGATGCTTCAAGGGATGGTTGTTTCTCCAATATCGCAATCATGACTTAATCCAACTCAAATATCTTTTCCAATATTTGTCTTGATCTCCCTCCTTTGCCTGGCCACATCATGTTGAATTTTCTACGTTCTGATAAGGTTCCGTCTCCACCTCCACCTTCAATTGCCTTGTGGCATAGTGGCATGAAAACTGAATCTCCCGATCTTAACAATAACCAGATACAACATGCGAAAGCTTTTGCACTGTCTTTATGTAAGTTTATGAGACCTATTATGGTTGCAGTTGTTTCAAGTAAAGAGAAATTAGCCTTGTGTAAGATCGGAGGCAAAGCATGGGAAGCTTATTATCTTTTTTTTTTTTTGGGTGAAAAGGACAAGCTAGGCTTGAAGGAGAATATTAAAATCCTAAGAAGCTCATGCAGTTGCTGCAGTAGATCTTCCAGCAGTTGTGGCCTCTTTGTCCTCCAATGATAGAGCTAGGCATTCAGTCAGAGCCTCTGGAATCAAAACTGTATCAGTATAGTCACCATGACCTGTCTTAGCAAAAAAATCAGCACACCCCATGATGGCCCTAGTAGTGTGATGGAGCGTCACTTCTCCGTCTCCAAAAACCAGGTCCCTTATGTCATTTATAACCAGTTTAAGCAGATTATCTGCTACACACACATGCGGATGATAATGTTGCATGCCTCTAAAGAGTCAGAATAGACCATGATTTTGGTATACCTGAGCTGTTTGGCCACTTCTAGGCCTGTTCGGATGGCTACGAGTTCTGCTTCAATGATCAAAGAGCATCCTAAACATTTCCTGAAGCCCATCAACCAATCTCCTTCAGAGTTCCTAATGAAATCTCCACATGCTGCACTATTTTGTTGTTTGACTGACCTGTCCACATCAACCCGGATTGCATCTTGTGGTGGTGGAGTCCATCTACTCTCCTGTATTGCAAAAATGTTGAACACTTGATGGCAAAGCTTATTATTAGTGGAGCACTCCATAAGTGAATTGAGACACCTGTGAAGTAATTCCCTTGTACTCATACTCATGCCACCAAACACAAAGGAGCATCTTCCAATCCCTTCTCTATACCCCCTTATAAAGTCATAAGCTGATTTAACTGAAAAGCACCCATCTGTTGAAGCTCTCCAAGTGAAACAGTCATTAACATTAGAAATAGGAGGAGATATTCAGATAATTCTAGCAATTATCCAAGAGGGTAGAATGCCTCTCCAACCATCCACCTTCCAATGCCCATCCTCTAACACGTGATCAATCACTTTATCCATAGAATTAATTCCATGAGAATGATGCACATAATAGATAAGTGGTCGATCTAGTGGAAGCCATTTATCCCACCAAAAGCTAGTATCATGTCCATTGTTGACTCTCTTTCCTATCTATTGAACAAAGGTCTCCCACACTGAGGTAATGGCATGCCAGGTTCTTGGGGAATTTCTTTTTTTATTGATACTTAGCATAAGATCCTCACCATACCTGTACTTCGACTTCAAGCATTGGACCTAGAAAGCATTTGGTTTGGTTAGCATGCCCCAACAAGGCTTCATAATGAAAGCTTTATTCTGTGTGACTAGGTTTTTAAAGCCTAAACTGCCATCTTGCTTGCTCATAGTCACTTTGTCCCAAGAGATGAGGTGCATTTTCCTTTTTCCTTCATCCTGAGACCAAAGGAACTTTCGACTAATTTTCTCTATTTCAGCAATTGTGCCAAGAGGAAGGAGCAAGGATTGCATTTGATAACTTGGTAACACGGTTAGAATCGATTTAATTAACACAGACCGGCCAGCCACATTAAGAACCTTCTGCTTCCACATTGATAGCTTCTTATGTATCTTGATGGGAAGCTTATTATCACCAACATATATGAAGAAAAGTATGTTAATGTGACATTTCACGACATGAGATTATATGCCATTAGAAAAATTTTCGACAAGGTTGACATATTTGGAATTGACGATGATGATCTGAAGCTTAATCTTTTGGGTGTTATAGATTCTTCCCAAGCATTAATATTGGTTTGTTAATGAAAAAAAGTACAGAATGCCGAGCCTATCTAGTAGTGGAGCCTAAAGGGAATGATCATTTGCTTAGTTTCCCAACTATTAAGTTTGAGATTTTTAAGGTTGAAGACGATGAAGGAGGCCGCCAGATTGTGGAAATAATGGCGGATGATATGTTGGAAGATCAAATTGTGTTGTTGAGTGACGCATGTTGTGAGATTGTTGACGTTAAAGATTGTTCCCCTAATGATGATGATGGTAACCATTTTTGTTGTTTTCAAGGTAACCAAATATGTTTCACTTGTTCTGATGATCTTTGTGGCATTTATTGCCTCAAAGATGAAACTGTTAATTGGGTAAGGCCACGTCATGGAATGTATTGTTTGCATTGGATTTTTCCCGCGTTTGGAGCTCAATGTGATTGTGAGTCACATCTTGCTCCGTCCTATTAATTAGGACAATCTGAAGTTATCTGTTCATAATTAATTAATTACCAATCTTGTGTTATTTTCTCATTACTTATTCACTAATTGTCTTCTTGAAAATCTCCTCTCTTTTAATTTTTTTTATTGTTTCAGGATCCTCATCGTCTTCTTTTCTATTTAGACTTAATGTAATGTACCCTCCTTCTAAAACTTATTCTAAGACACTTCGGATACTACCTCGTCAAAAACCAAAAAGATCTGTTGTTAAACCATTAACTTGGTTTGAAAACAAAATAAAAATACGATTTACTCATGTTTACCACGAATTGAAAATGTAGCTCGTAGTCCAATGCACTTTTTAACGGATAATTTTTTTAAAAAAAAAAATTTCTTTGCACTAATACCCTTTTTATAGGAAAAAATTACAATAAGGTCCAACTCAAGGGAATTAAATACAAAAAATCTTTAAAATCATCAAATTATTATCAAGTCTGAAGCGACCTGGTTGCAAAAAAAATTATTTGTTTAATTACCAAGTGACCCTTTTTTTTTTTTTAAAGTTTGTATTGACAACTGAAAAAACAATCGTTGACAACTCAAAGAGCAGTTGTTGACAATTTAATGTATAAAGATTAACAACTATCACGGTAAGTATTAACAATACATTTTCTTAGCATATCACAAAATGCATGCATGACTTGTTAATACCTATCGCAATAGTTGTTAATGCTTATACCTTAAGTTGTCAACGATTACTCTTTTAGTTGTTGATGCAAATTAAAAAAAAAAAAGGAGCAATTTAATAATTAAACAAATAAATTATGTTGCAATGAGGTTCCTTGGAACTTCAAAATAATTTGATAATTTCAAGAGATCTTTTTATATTTAATTTTGTTGGGTGTGACTTTGTTGCAATTTGCCCTTTTTATAACTCCAAATCATCATAAAATTGCACTATTCACAAATCGTTAAAAATATAGCTTATTTTTTAACTGTACAACACACAGTACACTTAACTATCATTCTAATGAAGAGCCATACATATATTCTTGTGGAGTACTAAAGTTGAGATGATTAGAAAGCAGCAAGATCAAGCAATAATGACATGGAGAGTGCTATCATAAGAACAAAAGAAGACATGAAAGGGGCAGCTTTGTTAGGGCAAGAACAAAGGCCATCGTTTGTTCTTGATGGAGTTGGAGCTTTTGTTGCAGAAACCCTGACGACGTTGATATCAACCTTTTGGCCTTTTTGGCAGTGCCCTGGAAAGCCACACATGAACAAGTGATGCCCATAATGGTTGAGTTTTATGGAGTCATTTCCTGTGTTGAAGGTTACCAAAGTAGTCCCTTCTGAAACATTGCATGACTTGTACATCTCATATGCCACTCTCATGACATTGTGGTATTGGGGATTGTACTCAAAAACTGCTCACACAATAAACAAAACTTACGGAGTATTAAATGTGAATCTCAGGTAAGACACCATGTGTGCTCGAGACAAATTATACTACCCTCTTCAATAATAAATATATATATAAGAATTCAATTCATTTTATCTTTTAAATATATAAATTTTTTAAAAACTATTCTTATTGATTACATGTAAGAAACAGGATTTTAATGATCAACGGTGGCCAGTACATATATAAGTAATTTAACTAATTTTTTTAATATTTATAAATGAGTTACTCAGTTTTTAGATGAAAGAAACTTACTGATGGTGTCACCAACTTGGAAGTTCTTAGAAGCAGCCCAATTCTTGTAGTCTACACGGCCAATGGAGGTCCAACCATCAGAGCCTCCAACCTTGTACACTGCTGCATCTGACATTATCGCCATCTTCATCATCATTGTCATTGTAATCAGCAGAACAACATCATTATTTGTTTGTACCGAAGACGACATATCTCCCAGACCTGATCTGATTAAGCAAATTAAGAATCCCTTAATTTCTTTTTGTGCTGTATGTGTAGTGAGAATTAATGGAGGCTTTTCTCTTTTTATATATGCATCTCTTCGATTTTTTTTAAAAAAAGGAGATTAGGGTTGTGGAAGTTGCAACATCAGTAATGGAATAATTGGTAATAATAGTTAGATGTAATTATCACTGTAACTATACAGCTCTTTTAAAAGCAAATTAATTAATTCAGTGCTTTTAGGCCCGCTGTCTTTTGTCTTGTTTGTTTTTTCAGTTGATGATGTATGTGGTTTTGATCATTCTCAACAACAAATAGTTGTTTTATAGTGGCAATGCCACCCACTATAATTGGATGGGGTAAATAATCATGACCCTTTTCCAAACAACTAAAAAATCTGAGATTTTTAAGCATTACATTTAATTTTTGAGGCCAAAATAATTGATTTTTCATTGAAAAAAAAACTAAAAACCAACAGGTAAGACTGTCAATAGGTGGGTTGGGCAACTTCCGCAGCTGTCTATTTAAGGTTAAATAGGTATAGGCTAGCCCATACCTATATAGAACCCATTTAAGCTTGTTATAAACGGGTTATCACTAAATGGTCGGGTTCACGTGGGTTTTGGGCTAGCTTTTTTAAGTAATGCTCTGTTTTTTTCCCTTGTTGGACAAAATTAATTATTAAAATATGTAATAAAAATAATACTAATTTAGTTCTAAATATAAAACTTAATTTATAATATAATTTATATTATAAAATTGGTTTTACATTTAAAATTAAAAAAGTAATAGCTAAGATGTAAGTGAATTCCTGACATATACAACTATAAGCTTAAGTCTTGGGAATTTCTAGATTTCAATTAGTTTAAAAAAAAAAACAATTTCTCCTACCTTTCTGATGTCATTGATATGGAATAGGAAGGGGAATTAAATCAAACAATATCAAAAGCACATTGAAATATATACCCACCACGTATATTTATTATCTTCCTCTATTTTTTTAATTATTTATATTGCCCAAACATTGAAAAAGGAGAAAATTGTTTTAAAGCCATACATTTGTGCAATAGTGCAGAAAACTGGAAAAAGTATCGTTTGGCTAAAAAAGAGACAAAGAGAGCGGTGAGCAAAGCATGTAATAAAGCTTACGAGGGGTTTTATTAGGAGCTAAGAACAAAGGCGAGGGAAAGAAATATTTACAAGATTACAAAGCAAACAGAGAGCAAAAAGAGAGATCTGGATCAAAGTGAAGTATATAAACGATGAAGATGGTAAAGTGCTAGTTACTAATGGTGATATTAAAGATAGATGGGAGGCTTACTTTTACAAGTTGTTTAATGAGGGAAGCGAATATGCGACTCAGGACTTACAGGATTTGCTAAGTAGCAAAGATGATCAGAATTTGGATTTTCATTGTTTCGCATCGGAGAGGTTAAGGCAGCTCTCAAGAAAATGGACAATGGTAAAATCGTTGGGCCTGATGGTATTCCTATTGAAATTTGAAAATGTTTGGGCGAGGAGAGTGAATTGTGGCTAACCAAGCTTTTCAATGAAATTTTACTCTCCAAGAATATGCCGGATGATTGGAGGAGAAGCATCTTAGTTCCTATTTACAAGAATAAAGGAGACATTTAAAATTGTGTAAGCTACAGAGGGATAAAACTTATAAGTCATACAATGAAGTTGTGGGAAAAAGTAATTGAACATAGGTTGAGGTTGGAGATTTCTATTTCGAAGAACCAATTTGGATTTATGCCTGGGAGATCCACAACTGAAGCAATCTATTTATTAAGGGAGTTAATAGAAAGATATAGGAGTAAAAGAAGGGATTTATATATGGTTTTTATTGACTTGAAAAAAGTTTATGATCGTGTGCCAGAAGAAGTACTTTTGAAGGCTTTGGAGAAGAAAGGTGTATGGGTCGCTTATATCAAAGTCATACAAGATATGTATGAGGGGGTAACTATTAGCGTAAGAACGCCTGGAGGTGAGACAAAGGACTTTCTCATTAAGATTGGTCTACATCAGGGATCTTTTTTGAGTCCTTATTTGTTTAATATTGTTCTGGATGTTCTAACTGAGCTTATTCAAGAAAGAATCCCCAAGTCCATGCTCTTTGGGGATGACATAGTCCTCAAAGCAGAGTCAAAAGAAGAGATTAACTCTAGTTTGGAGTTATGGAAAAGGACTTTGGAGTCGAAAGGTTTTCGCTTGAGTAGGAACAAAACAGAATATATGGATTGTAATTTTGGTGGGAGGCAAAGCAATGGTGATTTGGAGGTGAAGATGGGAGATCAAATCATTCCTCAAGTATCAAAGTTTAAATACCTTAGATCCATTATACATGAGAATGGTGAAATTGATGGAGAAGTTTTTCATAGAATACAAGCTGGCTGGTTAAAGTGGAGGAACGTTACTGGAGTTATTTGCGATAAGAAGGTACCTGAGAAGCTTAAGGAAAATTTTATCAGACTGTTATAAGACCAGCTATACTGTACAGTAGTGAATGTTTGGTGATAAAGAGAAAACAAGAACACAAAGTTGGGGTAGTAGAAATGAGGATATTGAGATGGATGTGTGGTCATACAAGAAAAGATAAAATCTAAAATGAAAATATCAGAACAAGAGTTGATGTGGTGCTTATCTAAGAGAAAATAGTTAAAAATTGCTTAAGATGGTTTGGACATATGTAGAAAAGGCCATTGGGGGCCCAGTAAAGGGGATAGATCAGACCATATGGAGTCCCATAAAAAGGGACAGAGGAAGACCGAGAAGAACGCTCAATAAAGTCATTGAGCGAGACCTCCTAGTCAACAACATATCTAAGGACTGAGTTGTTGACAGAGCATAATGACATCATGTGATTCATGTAGCTGACCCCACCTAGTGGGATAAGACTTGTTGTTATTGTTGTATTTGTTCTACTTACATTCTGCTCGATAAAGAATTTGGTTAACGTGAAGAATAAGTAGCGTTTTGGATTAAATTTATGAATCCTGCATGAATTGTTTATTTTCTTTCTCTGTTTCTTTGATTATTTGTTCTGCTTACCTTTTACTCTTAGTCTCCTTGTTATTCTTTTGTTCTATTGCGAAGACTATAGCAGTTATTTGAATATAATAAAACAAATACATAGCTTATATGAATGATATTAGAAGGAAAATGAACTCAAAAACATAAATAATATTAATCTAAACTTCTTGTAGAGTTGGAAAATGGGCCAGCGGGTTTAAAAGAGTCAGTCTTATAGGGTCGAAATTTTAAAAATATCTTAATTTGTTAGACCTAGCCTTTAAACAGACGAGCTAAGGATCAGCCCATGGCCTTTTAGCTTGTTAAAAAAAAATTTATTTTTCATATTTCTTACATGTTTTATAAAAAAAGAAAAAGAAAATAAACAAATAAAATTACTAGTAAAAGACATAAGTATGAATAAAATTAAGTCACAAATATGAGATCATCATATATAAATGTCTATTAACATACAAAAAATCTAAAACACCCATTAGACATAACAAGTCAATAACATTAACATCCAAGAATTCCATTAAAAATAGACAAATGCTTTCACTTAAAAAAAAAAAAAGAAGACAAATATTATTATCACTATCATCAATTGTAATGATATTTGATTGTGCTTCACTAGTAATAAGCTCTTCTTAACTTCTAAAAATGTTAATAATTTCTTCTCAATACTATTTAGCTATTCTGGAGTCTAATATGTCTTCTTCTGTCTTTTTTAATTGAATTTTTTGCCCACTAATAAGTTTATTTATAAGTATTAATGTTAAGTTTGTTTTAGAGGTTTCAACTTAGCAATCACTGGAGATTGATTCTGTGTTGTTTGCTTACTACCTCTAGTCCTAATTATAAGACCTCGTTTGTAGTTTACAAACGAGATTTTATAATTAGGATCGGAGGTAGTATTTATTTTCTTAGGTTTTAATTGTAAAAATCACTTTGTCACACAGTCTCATGAGAAGTTTGAAATACCTCGACGCTTTGGATTAATCCATAATATGCTTTTCATTAGCTAACTATGTCATCCTCTTTTTACTTTTGTTTAGGATGGTCTTCTTTAGTTTTGTCTAGCTCGCTTGTCTAATTCTATTTAAATATAGAGTAAAAATTTTGATATAGTCACTATAGAAAAAGTGTTAATTTATTTGTTAAAATTTTATAACATATATACAAATTGATTCGTATTTATTGGTTCAATCATTAAAAATTTTGTTTTAATATGGTGAATATATTTTTTTTATTTTAATATATAACTGTTGATTCAAATATACAAATTTGAAATCTGATTTAGGATATGAAGAATATATTTTTATTTATTTTAATATTATTAGAGACTGAGGTGTTAGCTAAGAGTGAGTGAAAGACTGAGAGTGAAACTTAGAGAGAGAGCGTGTGTAAAATGTTAGGGATTTAGATTAGGGTCAAGAAAAAAATAAATTTAAAAAATTACTGTTGACGAGTTTAAATGGGCTGGACCTTTTATTTTTCAACCCTATAGGACTGGCCCTTTTAAGTCCAAATTTTCTTTGAAGACCTCAAATTATAAGTCCGACTCTCAACTTAAACAAGTTTAAACGAGCTGGCTCGACAGCCTTATCCATTTTCCTGGCTCTAACGTCTTGTCAATTGACTAATCAACGTCATGATTTAGACTGAGGTAAAGATAGCTTAGATGAAAGTCATTATTGATTTTTTTTTTTTTGTGTTTTTCATTGCTTGCTTCAATTGGACACGAAATCTATGATAATGTGATGTGAACATATAATATAAAGCAATAAACAGGCAGGTACAAGCAGCCTGTGCCTTTGCCTGCTATGCCCCCATATAATACTTCCACCGAACTCATTTAAGTCTGTACGCTTCGGGCTTTTGATGGGCCGACTCAAATGGACAAAAAACATGGCTGATAGTGGGTGGGTCATGCAGGGAACGGTTTGCTTGCTGCCTAAACTAACTTTCATAGGATTT